CTGCTGCTGCTGCTGTTGCTGCTGCTGCTGCTGCTGCTGCTGTTGCTGCTGCTGCTGCTGCTGCTGCTGCGGTTGGGGAGAGGAGACACTCAGCTCTGGCCGCAGCACACAGAGCCAGCCGCTGCTGCTGCTGCTGCTGCTGCTGCTGCTGCAGCTGCTGCTGCTGCTGCAGCTGCTGCAGCAGCAGCAGCAGCAAACAGATCTACTGGTGGAGAAGGGGGTTAAGGGCTGAGAACGAATCCAAACAAACCCTAAACCCTAAACCCTAAACCCTAAACCCTAAACCCTAAACCCTAAACCCTAAACCCTAGATATCAAACCCTAAACCCTCAAGCCCCAACCACAAAAGAGATAAACACCATAATATTTATTTGTTTATCTCTTCTTTCTCATCCACCCCCCTGCTGCAGCAGCAGCAGCAGCTGCTGCTGCTGCTGCTGCTGCTGCTGTTGCTGCTGCTTGCATGCGTGTCATCGGGGCCCCTTTCTCCTCGTTGCTGCTGTCTAGTATTTTATTTTTGTTTTTGTTTTGTTGTTTTTATTTATTTATTTTAATTTAATTTATTAAAATATATAAAACACAAACAGAGACACCAAAACGCATGCACTGCAGCTCCCTATACACCCCGGACAGCTCCCCCCAGACACGCAACTTGCTGCTGCTGCTGCTGCTGCTGCTGCTGCTGCTGCTGCAGGTGTTGCTGCTGCTGTTGCTGTTGGCTAACAGCATTACGATATCAGTGAACCAAGGAGATTGAGGAGCTGCTGCAGCAGCAGCTGCTGCTGCTGCTGCTGGTGTTGCTGCTGCTACTGCTACCACCGTTTCTGTTGTTCTTGTTGCTGCTGTTGTTGCTGCTGCCTCTGCTGCAGCTGCCGCCAGGGGTGCGGGGTGGGTGTATTGTGCTGTTGCTGCTGCTGCTTCTGCTGCTGCTGCATTCACTCCTGGTGTTGCTCCTGTACGTGCTGCCCCTGCTGTTGCTGCAGCAGCAGCAGCAGCAGCTGCTGCTGCTGCTGCTCTACATGGAGGGTCAGTTGCCTTCAGAACAGCAGCACACTGCAGCAGCAGC